TTTGTTTTATTGCTAGTGGGGTGGGACTAAGTCCCTTGCACTGTGGCCACTTCTGGCCTACTGTACCAGCCCCGGATGATAGGTGAGGGTGATTGTGGAGCAGTTGGTGGAATGAAGTTGGCAGGGGAACCGAAGTACTCGGAATAAACCTGCCCCAGCGCCACTTTGTCCACCACAAACCCCACTTGACCAGACCCGGGATCAAACCCAGGTTGCCGCGGTGGTAAGCCAGCGACTAACCGCTTGAGCTATGGTGTGGCCTATATTCCAAGTAACTAAAAATATTAATTTATTTAAGTATTCTGTCATAAATTCTTATCTTGCTCATATTTAGTTCCACCTCTCTAAATGCAACCATTTTAGTTTTCTTAGTATTTATGTCAGAAGGAAAATTCTGCAGTTATATATGAGGGTAAGTCAATAAGTAAGTTACAAATGGATATAGAACTTAAACAAATAAGAGTACTGATTTGAAAAATGCTTTTATTTCTCAACATAATCTCCCTGTACATTGAGGCACTTGTCCCATCGTTTCACAAGCCCCTGAAAACCAGCAGCATAAAATTCTTTGTGCTGCTGTCAGAACCTGGCAGTGACTTCACTTTCTACAGCTTCAGCGTCGGGAAAATGTTCAGCCGAAAGAAGATATTTACGAGGGCCGAACAAATGGAAGTCGCTTGGAGCAAGGTTGGGGCTATATGGAGGATGCTCGAGGACTTCCCACTTGAAATTTCGCAGCATCTCATTTGTCTTGTTGGCAGTATTGGGACATGCGTTGTCATGCAGGAGCAACACGCCTTTGGTCAGGAGTCCTGGTCGCTTCCGTTGAATGGCCTTACGAAGTTTCCTGAGGATCTTACAGTAGGAGTCGGCATTTACAGTTTGTCCTTGAGGCTGAAATGGGGTGAGCAGTATGCCTTCGTGATCCCATTCACCGCCTGGTTCCGACAGCAGCCCAAATAATTTTATGCTGCTGGTTTTCAGGGGCTTATGAAACGATGTGACAAATGCCTCAGTGTACAGGGAGATTATGTTGAGAAATAAAAGCATTTTTCAAATCAATACTCTTATTTGTTTTAAGTTCTATATCCATTTGTAACTTACTTATTGACTTACCTACATATTATTCAAATTGTGTACTGTTTATTATAGGCTATCTTCAGTTGTACAAGCCAGGATAGCTCAACTGGTATAGCAATGGGTTGGATGGCCAGGGTTCAATTCCTGGCAGAGGCAAAAATATTTTTCATTACTCCACAGCATCCAGGTAAGCTTTGGTGCCCACCCAACCTGCTATGCACTGGGTACTGGGAGCTCTTTCCCTGGGGCATCAAGCTGCCCACTCACCTCCATCAAGTGGTGAGATTAAGAATGGTGGAGCTACATCTCTACTCCCCCATATGTGCTCATAGTGTAGTACTTTACTATACTTTACTTTGCCTTTACCCTCTTGTGTGGTTTGGAGGATCTGATCATCTGAAAATGGAACAGCTTTTCCTTCCATGCATTACTTAACAATATCAACAATATATGGTGCCAGAAAATAGCATAGCATCCATGTTAAAATTTCAGCTAACTGAAATATGTATTTCTATGTCTGTTCAGTCTCACAGTCTTCACTATTTTGTCCATATACATAGGGATTATTTTTAGTAACTAGATGCATTCACAGCTCTTATGCATCGCCAGACACAAAATGCACACGACTTTTGCTGATGGCTCAGGATGCTTGATGGTGATAACGTTTAGAATGAAGGAGAATAATTAACTTGTGGACCTCTACACAGTATTATATAAGATGGCCGGCAGTGCAGTTCATTTATGGGAGTTTGTTTATGATATTTGAGCAGTTTGCACTAGTTATCAGCTCCATGAGCCATGAGTTCCCAGGTAACAGTTAGTAAGCAGTGTGGCACAACATGGTTCACTGTACTTCAGAGCACAACACAATTGCTGAAGCTTAGAACCTATAAAACAACAGTAACCCATGCCTTGCAGCAGTGTGATTCAGCTAGCAGGGTTCGTTTATGCAGTTGGTTTCCACATTCTGTTGTCAAAGGTGAGATCGATCCGCAATTGACACTCTTTTCTGATGAAGCATGGTTTAATTTGCAAGGATACATAAATACGCAAAACAATCACTACTGGAGTTCACAGAATCCACATCTAACCCATGAAGCCTTGCTCCATCCGGTGAAAGTTGATGTCAGGTGTGCTTTAAGTTCAATGATTGTTGGACCTTGATTTTTTTAATGAAAAAATTGTGAAATATATGTACGGGTAATCTTGGACAGTTCTTTTTAGAGCTAACAGAAGACGGAAGACTCTATGGCTGGTTTCAGTAAGACTCAGCTACTGCCCATACTGCACGTACGTCTATGCAGGCTTTGTTCAATGTCTTTGAGAACAGAATTATCAGCAGTGATATTTGGCAGGCACGTTCACCTGATCTTAATCCTTGTGATTCTTTCTTCTGGGATTGTTTGAAGAACAAAGTTTACAGCAGTAACACTCGAATGGAAGGACTGAAAGAAAACATTCGTAGGAAAATTTCAAATATTTCTTGGAGCATCTTCAGAAGGTAAATCAAAACCTGTTCTGCCAGTGTGAGGAATGTCTACATGTAGAGGGACAGCATTTTCAACATCTCCTGTGGTCTGTGAACAAAGGTAATAACTTCCCTTCATTCAAAATATTATTGGCATGCTAAGTCATCGGTAAAATTCCATGCACTTCACAGCCGGTGGTACACCGGTCACAGTGAAGAAAAGAGCTGTGAATGCATCAAGTTCATTAAAAACCCCTGTATATGTCAGATAATAATGGTGAGCCACTACACCCCTGTATCTCACCTGTGTTAATTTCTCTTCATTCAGAGGTTTCTGATTCTAATCTTCCTGCACATGTTGTGTACATTTTCATTATAGACACAAAACTAGTTCATTGTGGTTCTCTAGACAACAATGGGATAATCTGCTTCAGTCATTGAATGGTATATTATGAAACTTCAGAAGACATAATTCAATCCTGCAGCTTGCGTATGTCCAGTTTTGTAATACCGATCATTGCAAGAAAAGTGTAATTAATATGGGAACTAAAATATGTAATGGTCTTCCCCTTGAATTGAAAATGTTAATATTTTTAAGAGGAAACTCAAAAATTATTTGCTGTGCAGCACTTTCTATCCTCTTCAAGAGTTTTTCAACAAATGTTGATTGCCTTTTAATTTGCAATTTTTAATATTGTGTTTATGTGTTTTATCCTACTGATATTTTTCTTTTGGTTTTATGTATCTTATAATGGTTGTTATATTATCACGATAGATCACTGTGTAATTTTTATGTGACTTTGACATCTGATGTATTCACTGTTATATTGTGACATGTCCAATTGTATTCACTTCAGTTATGGCTGAAAATAAAGTTGAAAGTATAACAAACAAATTCAACTTTTTTTGGAGGGAGGGGGGAACTACTCATAAATTTGGTGACTTCATTACACTTAAGTAAATACCCCAAACTGCTGGGAACATACTTTTTTTCCAGTTCAGTTAAAAATATCGGCTGTACTGCACAATGGAAGAAGACAATGAGTTATCTCACACATATACAATTATTAACATATGATGTCATACTACAGGCAACTAGGAACAGAGCACTTGCTGGTTGTAAAGTCATTGCTAACAAAATTACTGCCTGAAGAGTTCTGTCTTCTGGAATATAACACCATTTAGTCTGTTGAGGAATATGTTACCTCCATCTTCAGCATCGAAAAATAAGTCAAGCAAGAAACCAGCATGAAGCAAGTAACAGCAAGTTGACTTTCAATGGACCACATGGCATTATATCCCAGAAAGCAGAACTCTTCATTACCACTGCTGTGAGAACCTCAAATCCTATGATTGTTAAAATGTGCAGATAAAGGAAATTGGAAACATTTCCAAACACAAAGAAATTTTTCATTCGCAGAAGCATGAAATGGCGAAGTATAAATCTAAAAGCTTCATAGGAAGCTTCCATCAGAAATATGAACTGTTCATTTTTTTAATTCTTTCGTTCTGGTCCACTGCACTGTTCAGCTGAACCAGTGTTATTGAAGTTTGCAACAGACTTCATATTTACTGATTTATAGCTTATTTAAAAATATATTCTCAGTAGCTCAGATTGTACAGTATTGAATGATGGGATGTTTAGTGAATAATGAATTGGAAAGAATGTGGAAGGAAGCAGCCAAGACCTATTCGAAGTACTATCATGGTAGTGACCACGGTCAAAGACTGCTGGAACTTACTTGCGATAAACGGCCACCAGGCTAAAATTTGAAAACCTGGGTCTCCTACACATTAATCAGGAGTGCTGCCTATACTTCGAATGTAACTGTGCTTGGGGTTCGTAAAACTGCAGTGTTGGAAATACTAAGAGGCTCCTCTACCATGGCCTACACTATGAGTCCTGTCGCCACCAGGTTTCTCCCCCCCCCACCGTTTCTATCTGTGAATTTGAGGTACATTTTGCAATTTGAACCTTCAAATTCTACTGGCATCATTAAGTTCCTTTATTTTAAGCTAACATTCTTCTTGTTTCTGATTTACTTAACTGCCTTGGTAACTCACAATATATGGGAAACACAAGACGCTTTTAATTACAAGCACTTATTCTATTTACTCCTTGTGCGTGAGTCTAAAACATATATAAGCAATGAATAGCAGGAGAATGCATTTGCCGGAACCGCCCGGAAGGGTCGGAAGCGGCCGGAAGTAAATTAGGCCGTGTACACTAGAGTCATCTAATGTACGTACCTCGAATTATACTATAATCAATAAGAAAATATCGGAAAGTATTTTTCGCGATTCCTATGTTTAATATACATTTATAATGTTAGAAATGTCTACATATTCCCTGTATGTATAATACATTAATATAATTAATATATTTTTGAATTATATGAAGAATGGTATTCTTATATTGGAATTCACCAATCACCGCCGAGGTGACAACTTGGCTGTGCGCATGCGAAGCCATTTTGATTCTCTTTCATTCCAGAAGAAGGAAGGAGGATGGCTACAAATAATTACTTCGGTTTTACGCATAGTGGCACGCAGTATGGGTATGTATAATATTATACGGACCTTGAAATATTGTTAAGAGTTTGGTAGTAAGATGATGTATAATTTTGAGAGTTTGGTTTCGTCTATTTCGAAGGGAAATTCGGAGTTTTTCATCGCGTGTTTCTTTTTGAGATGTCGGAAGACCAAGCCGGCTGAGAGCCCATAATCAAATGAATAGCACACAGTGTCTATACCTGTTACTTTAATGTAGCCTAGTAACCGCTTGTTTGTAATGGAATTGAAACACTTATTTTTAATCCCAGCTACAAGTAACATGTAATGCACAAAAATAGTGATCGTAGTTTGCCAGTCTACACACAATAAAGGTGACGCCATGATGCTGCTTTACCAAGGGTTGGAAATGATGCAGTAAACGCGAAAGTTAATGATCTAAGAGGTCTGCGGTAACAGCACAAAAGTTTGTGGTGACATTGGACCGATGATATGACTTGACCTCATGTTACGTCTACGTATTGTTACATAAATTGATTACCGCCCTAAATGAGCAGCAGTCTGCCCCCACCTTCCCCTCGAGTTTAGTGATAATTAGCGTTATTTGCAATTAATAACCGCAGTCTGCCCCCACCTTCCCCCCGAGTTTAGTGATAATTAGCGTTATTTGCAATTAATAACCGCAAGTTTTTTCTGCAGTCTTGTATTACGACGCATATACGGTTTCATGGCCTCTTTCAGTGCGTACAAAACAGTTTACCACCACACTGTTTGACCCATGTTTTACCGTGGATTTCAACGAATATTGTTTTTAGTCGCTTTGTTTGATGAAGAAAACGAGCCCCTGCCACAGAACTATAGGAAGAGTTGGTGCTTTAATTATGGTACCTTACTGTAATTATTTGTGACCGCCAGTACAAAGTTAAGTTTAGATTTATATGTAAAGATTTCCCTACTCATTAAAATCACATAATCCATCCATTACTCCTTGCCTCTAGTATAGGAAAAGTAGCTTTAGAGATTGACCACTGCTGTGTCTTGCAGACAAGGCATATTTATTGTATTGTGTCAAGGGTGACATTTTCATTGAAGTGGGCTATCATTTTGAGTCCCTGATGTGTATGTATTGACCGTCTTCTAGTGCACACAATCTCACTTGTCAGTTCACTACATGTTTTGGCATCACTGTGCCATCCTCAGGTGTGTTATTTACGTTAAACTATTGTACTGCTTGTCATGTCTTGTTTATAATATGATTTAAAATGTATATTCGTCATGTACTATAATAAAATTTATAAAATAAAATTTGTTAAGATTTATCATCTTATATGTTGTATTTCAAACTCTCGTATTATATCATTCTTCTGCTATGCAAGTCGTTCTTTGTATATTTTGTGTATACTGTGTCTTGTGATGTGTCCTCCTTTTGTGGCTGCGTGCGTTGTACGAATCAGTGCAACAGGACACTAAAATACATCATCATTTTGAGGTTATTATGGTTGATAACGTTTGTGATTGGATGCTTGTGTGGTGGTTTAAATAGAGGTAGAGGAACATAGAGAGGATGCAGCACTACAATATTGTGGTAGATTAATTTGCTAGGAAATTTATGCATTGGACAGTATATTTTTTATGACAGGTTTGCCATTATTTTATCTGTGTTTTCATTTTCTGGATTAGTGACAATGATCCCTTACATAAGACTCCAAAATGTTTATCCAGCCTGTTCTGTTGAGAATCATGAATGGGTTCCAGTTTTACCTCTTTTGATGAGTATGATTCTAGCCAAGTATATAAAAAGTTATGTCGGACAGATGTTTTTAGTTCTCAAAATAAATGTTGATTCATGCAGTGTACATGCAGTTCTCTGAGCATACTGTAGGAACATTGTGCATTTCCTCACTGTAGTCACACTTCGAGATGGTTCACTTGTTGGTAGAATCCTTTAATTTACCATGCTGCGTTAGCAAGCAAGTGTATTTCTCTGGTGAAATACTAGCAGTTCTATGCTAGGTTACAATCTTGGCTGCTGCAATGGGGATAACATGTTTTTTAAATGGTTGTGGCTTGTTATATTTTTTAACTTGTTTTCTTCTTATGAAGTTCTTATTTCTTGGTAAATGTACTAATTCAGTACTGAAAGCAGATGGCGAAAAGAGGGAATGGGAGTAGTGACAGCTGACACCACTGATAAAGGGGGGTGGGGAGTTAGTTGCCTTGCACCATCAGTACTATGACACTGGACCTCCTCATGCTTGCTCTTGTGAACAGAATAAGTTATACTGCTGTATTTAGTTCAAGGTAATGTTTCGGCCAAAAGAATTATTTTGCTGCTGCTTGAAATGGTGATTAAATATAGCCGAAAGAAAAATTTGTTGTTTCCTCTGGTGTCCATGTCATTTTATCTCAACCATTGGTGCGTGATGTCTCATTTCAGTTACACAGAAACTTTTCTGTGTTCTGGGAAGTCATTTCTTTTCTCCTTTTTAATGCTTTTCTGTGTAGTGCCTTAATGGAAATGTTTGGGTGGAGTAACCCAAAGTACTGCTGAAAGGTATAATTTTCTGTGACTATAGTAGTAAGACATAACTGCGGGAACTGTAGAACACCCATTGATTGTAATACTGAAGTGTTTTGTGTTTAATTGTAAAAGTACATGTCCTGGAAATAGGCTTTGTTGTTATTGTGGGGGGGGGGACTGTGTGTTTTTGACAAAATGATCATTAGATCCAAGTTGTCAAATGTTGGGAGTAATTGGTCTATGGTATAACTTTCACCTTTGGCAGGGAGGGACAAACAAAATATATTGTGACATGGATGGCGCAACGGGAAGTAGTGGTCACGTGAACTCTGTTTTTTTTGCGGGTGACGTCACATACCCCCACTCCTTCCACCAGTACGCACTGCTCGATACCCCCCCACGGTGACGTGATGTGTGTGACTTGAAATTGAAAGGGGACATATTGTAAAGTTCTGATATCCCGATTTCAGTACTGCAGGGGCAGCTGCGTATCAGACTGGGCAGACAGGGTATGCCGTCACCCCAACTGCAGCAACTGCTGCCACCTACACTGCACAGAGAGCCGGTACTGGGTATGAGACTGCATACCAGACTGCCGCCACTCATACCACAGCTGGTACATATGCAGGTAATTTGTTGTACTTCATGTATATGGGTGGCATGCAGTGGATATATTCATGGCTTCAGTTTAGAGTTAATTTCTTCTGTTTCTGTATTTATCATACACTGTTAGCATGTGCAGGTAACTTGTAATTTAGAAATTTCAACTTGGGTTCTGCTTGTTGGAAGAAATATAGTCTGAAGAAGGCCACAGTTACACAAACATGACTATAGGATCAGTGCGCCAATTTCAGCTTCCATTGCTTCAAGAAGGGAATGCTGCATTTCCAGTAGCCATACACATTTTGGCAGAACAATTATATGTAACATAAAATCTCTTCTCTTACACATTATTAAAGGCATTGTGTACTTGGACATTTCAGTAAAATACCGTTAAAGTGGACCCATTGTCATTAGTTTATTTCCTGTTTCTTGTCCGTAGATTAGTATTTGAAATGATATAGTTTTTATTTATTACAAATGTTAAAAATAATGGGAAAGCTACAAAAATGTTATGTCCCCAGTTCAACATTGACACTGTTGTAATCCAGAGATATAGTGACCTTAAAAGCTTCAAATATTGTGCCTTCCATTTGCATTTTATTATAAGTTGGATATGAGGCAGAACAGCCTCATTGTTGATTGTGTCATTGACAATGTGTACCTTTCCTGTGGTAAGTGATAATGTTGGTTACAATCTTGGTACAAACTACATTATTTTAACCTCCCTACATCATGCTACTATGGTGACACGGAGATGAGAACGCCTGTATTCTTAAGTGCTACTACATTGATGCATGGGCTTATTGGCCAATTTTACAATTGGGTAGCAGGTAAAATATTTTGCAGTATCATCTATGGAGGCAGTAAGGAAGCTTCTAATCGGTATGCTATTCTTGTTAAGTCCTACAAAGAGAATGAAAAGTCCTGAAAGAATTTAATGCGGATAAATAACATCTGAAAGCTTGTGACCATGGTACAGTAGTACAAATATTATGTTTCTGGACATTATCCATCTTCCAGTTTTTATCTTAACACACCACGCTATTTATATTTCAAAACAGCGTTTCGGAGACTGGATTTTGTCTCCATCCTCAGGTGAAACCTACTCATTTGGGCCCAGTCCCTATCTCTGAAGATAGGGATTAGCTGCGTTAATTAGGCCCAACTGAGTAGGTTTCACCTGAGGATGGAGACAGAATCCAGTCTCGGAAGGTTGTGTTCTGAAATCTAAACAGGGCAGTGTTTTAGGTACTGGATGCTGGATAATATCTAGAAACAGTATTGTGTAAGGGTTCTGTGACTAATAATAATAGGTTCTGGATTGGATGATTGACTTTACGGGTGCTTCACAATTATAACTGCTCACAATAAGTGACTGCATAAGACTCACTCCATTCCATACTGGACTACAAGTGTGTTCTCATCCACTGTGACTGACTTGGTTCTGATTTACGGGTTGGTCACGAATCACTATGGATAAGTGACTGAATTAGTTCTTTGTTCTCCTTTCTACCGTGACTGCCTTGAATGACTGTCTGACGAATGCTTCAATCTTCTCTGCACAGCTCTCTATAATGGCTACTGTTAACCACAGAAAAATATTTGTCATGGAAATGTGCTTACCGAACTGTTGGCTAGCAGTGGACTTCTTCGTTATTGCAAGAATGTGTGTTTGGCGAGCCATTGGCTAGCAGTGGACTTCCACTCTGGCTCCGCTATTCCGTCTTTCAGGCGTCATGTCACAATATTTGTATTAATGGGGATAGTCTAGCTTGTGAAAAAAGAATGTAGCAGATAAAGGGTTACAGAGTTTTAACACCATTTAATTGTGTGGTTACTAATTGAAATTAACCAAACTTGAAAATAAATGGTATATAAGTCTGCAGTGTTTTGTGTTACGCATATCATGTATGCTTTGGTGTTTGATACAGCGTATGGATTCTAACGTATGGACTATAATTTCAACATGATATTCTGATGTATATAAGAAATTGCATTCTGTTATGAAAAGTCATGGCCGAAATGCCATAATGACATGTTTATAGCATGTGAAGTAGGTAAATTTAGTAGCCATATGATACGTAAGACATGTCATAGTTAACGATGAAAGACTTGTGTAAGTTTCTTACATAGTGAAATTGGTGAGAAAAATATGACCATCTTTTTGTAACAACTACATTCCTGGGATTTTTCCTTCCAAAGTACTGGTTTAAGAATTTGTTTTTATCTTACACAATTTATTTTCTGTGCAAGGTGAAGGTAAGTTAACCTTGTAAGAAATGTACTCATCACTAAGTGGGAGATTAGCCAGCCTCTCACTTCAGCTGCCTGCCTCGTGGGGCCTATAACATTCCATGGTTCCATTCTGGATATGTTGAAATTTTTAATGTCATATTCCCAAAGTATTATTTCATGAAAAATATGAACATTCATTTAGAGGTTGAAATACCTTATATATTACATTGATTTATAATTGCAGATTAGTGTGGCACTTGGAAATATGGTCTGGTAATCAAATTGTACAGAATGTCCAAGCCTTGTACATATCAGTGAAAGTGTATGTGATGAGAATCACTATGAAGAGTGCCATCTTCAGGGATGTGGCATCATGTAGTCTGATAGTTCAACATAGTTCATATACTGTCTTTATCTTGCCAGGATAGTGTAGTCAGTATAGTGACTGGCTACAGGCTGGATGACTGAGGGGTCAGAGTTCAAGTCACAGTAGGGTCAAGAATTTTCTCTTCTCCAAGTCATCCAGACCGGCTCTGGGGCCCACTCAGCCCCCTATCCAATGGCTACTGGGGGCTCTTTCCCCAAGTGTAAAGCGGCAGGGGTGTGAAACTGACCGCTCACATCAGCTGGTGCCAAGTTCAAGAGAATATGGATTTATACATCCACTCCCTCATACACCTACTTGGCATAGTTAAGCACAGCAACAAGTTATGCTTTCCTTCCAAGCTCCTGTAAAGTTGTACCAGACTACATGGCATCACATCCTAGAAGACAAGTATGCTTGTGGGCACTATTTAGCGTGCATTTAGTTTTCAGAATACAATATTGTTTTCTTGTGGAGATTCTGTTACATATTCTAGTTTCCTACTACTCTGAAAACGGTATTTTACTGTATGCCATGCTTTGCTTTCATCCGTTAATATTTTTGGTTGTACATTAAACTTTTATTCTATTTGTACAGTAATATTGAGTTGCCAACTTAATGAATGGAAGTACTAAACAAGATAACTTAAATTTAGGTCATTCTTGTTATATGCTTAGTGAAGCTCTTGTGTTTCTGAACAAAACGAAGTATTTAATTCAGCGTATTAGTCTTTCACGTCCTTGTCCCGTACTTCTAAGGTCGCTGCATTTTGACATGCGAGAGGTATAGAAATTAGCTTCCTAGTGAGTTTTTTTCATAGGTTGGTACCACTACAACCTACCAGACCAAGAGGAAACATCCATAACTGGTGAAGGGAACAGACTAAAAAATTGGCGGACCGATCCTACAGTTGTTCCAAATTGTATTCCTAACCAAGAACAAGGTAATCTTTTGTTCAAGTAGGGCCAGGAAAGACATACTACATACGTAATAAGTACAGTTCATGTAAAATTAATGTGACTTACTGGGTGGTGGTTTTGTATTATAAACACATTTTTATTTAATCAGTTCATAACATGAAGCGTTGCTTAGTTAATCGGTGTGTGCACCAGTGTTTTAAAGAAGAAATGAGGGGAAATTATCACTGAACAAGGGGTGCTTAGATATGCTGTATATAGGTGGTGAAACTTAAGTCCACACATTCTGTACAGTGAAAGGATAAGTGACCGCTTGTGACGAAGCTTTATGGTTTGTATATCTTGTAAGTGTAAGCCCATTGAACTTGGGATTGAAAGTGCATTAGTTGGTTTCCGAGACGTTTTATCTCAGTCCTATTTTTTTTTGTGTGTGAAAGGTGATATGATCACTGCAGCAGGCGCAGATAATAAGGTAATTAGTGCTAAAACAGATCTCAGTTCAGGATATGTTATGGTTCAGGTTTGGTGTTGTCTCTCTTTTGGGGGGATGGGCACAGCAACCTTGCATACCACTTCAAAATTCCGTAAGTGAAATGAAATACTAAGGTTATGGTCTTTGGGACCGTGTAGTGCCATAGCTTAGTACCAACAATTTTTAGGAATCTGCTTCTGTCTCCATCTGAAGTTGGAGACAACATTCTTCTGAAACATGTAGATATTGGCCACAACCGAAACTTCTACGCAGAAGGTTGAAGGTGCTCCTCCAAAGCATTGGTAACCATTTGGAAGACTGCTTGGTATCATCCCACATGTCAGTACTTTGAGAGTTTAGAACAGTTTAGTTTTGTCAACATTCCTGTCACTTGTGATTGGTTGGCCACTTCTTGCCAGTCCAAAATACTGAAAGTTTGGTGCGTTTTTATAGGAAGGGGTCTCTGCTTTTACATTTAAGGAATGTGTGTACCTGGATTTAGTGCACATTTGATCTGAATTTTGATATGTTAAAATGAAATTAAGTTTGCATAATTTTCCCTGGGTCATCTTTTAAATATTGTTCTGTTACATATGCTGTAGTGGTAGCTTTTACCTATGGTGTGATTAGCTTCTTGAGTTTTGAAAACTGTCCATGCATGTGTCATGTAGTTGGATTTTTTTTTTTTTGTTTGTCATGTAGTTAATACCAAATGTTTTCCTTGGAGTTTAGTGGGGCAGGTTAATATTGGACTGCACTTTACTCTCTTATTAGGCTCTGTTTTTATCAGATGTTATTTTTCTTTTCCCATTTTCCCCATGCCTTTGCATGAAAATACAAATTACAGAATAACAGGAAACTGCAAAGTTATGGGTACATCGTAATTATTCATTTCATCAGTGTAACTTAACTAATAGAACTTGTGGATTCCTTGGTAATCATGGGAGAAGGTGAAAATTGAATCTGTTGCACAGTATATTGGAATACAACAGGATCAAAGTAAATGATGGCCAAACTAATATCACAAGAAATATGTCAGACCAGTAAAGTTGTCTCAGGGGGGCCGTGTGAGTCTGTTTATCCTCACTATAGTCACACAGAGGGCACATCAGCATATATTAAGATCTGTATGCAGACAGTGCAATACTGCCCTCAGAACAAGCACTTCAGCCCATCTGCATTGGGGGAATGAAACCTTTCACCTCTGAAGTGCATGTATTGGTTCACTGAAAGGTACATTCATCGTGGCCAAAGTACACACATTCAGGCGTTTTAACACGACTAGTAGAATCACACTCACAATCCTAATAATTTTAAATATAGTAAAATTCAGTATCCATACTTTTTATTTTTACCTGCTTGATTACTATATAGCAACCCCCCCCCAGTCATCTGACCAAATCTCTCCTTTGTATGGTACTCTTTGGAGCACCTGAGAATGCGCAGTTCCATGTCACATTACTTGCACTTTGCCAATTTCATCCAGATGTTTTATTGCCATTTATGAAACGAAACTATGATATTGGAACTCAGTGATCAGAATGAATGAATGAATGAATGCACTCTGTATCTCAGCTGTGATGCAAGCATTTGCGACCATAGAGAGGGCAGTATTCTCTTGCAGCTGCAATGGAAGAGCTTGGCACTGATATATGAAACAAAGAATTTTCTGTCCAGTCTCCTGAATTCCTGTACTTTCACTCTTATATCCCTTTAGTCAACAGATTCAAATATCTGAAGAGGGTAGCAAAAACCTTATGAACAGAAGAACAAACCTTGGTTGTTAAGTGTTTCCAGGTGTCTTATGACACCAGAGACTGCAGAAGTGTGTAAAGTGTTGATTTTTATAATGCAGAGCGCTTTTTGAAGTGGGAAAATATGTTGTACAGAATGTATCAGAATTACAAAAAATAAAAAGAATAACTTTTTTGTGTAAACATTTTCAAGTCTTGTGTGACAGTATGATCTTTGCTGATACAAACAAAGTTAATACCATTTCTTTATCATAAAAATTTTATTAGATACAGTATTATTAATGGGGCACCCGGTAGCATATTTGGTTGAGGCACTATGCTACAAGCTGGAAGGTCGCGGGTTCAAGTCCCAATGAGGTAGTTGGATTTTTTTTCAATTGACCTAATCCTTCCAGCCTCACTATGGCCCTGGGGTTGACTCAGCCTCTAACAGAAATGAGTACCAGGAATTAATTAAATAATTTTCCTGGGGACTGAAGCGCGGCTGCCATCTTTGAGCTGATTGTCTAGATAATGTGGGTCCCTCAACATCTCAACCCTATGGGCCTTCACAGCCTGTTACAGGGACAGCTTTACTTACTTTACTTTACAGTATTTTTAATAAAATGCTTTAAAATTATTAAACGCAACAGCAACTGCCATATAAATGCCCATCAGCAATGGGTATATAAATGAACTCCATCGAGCCCATCCTGTGCCATTTAGAAGGAAGGTTCCAGAGGGGATTTAAATTCAGATATTCCAAGCAGTGCTGGCATAAACAGCTGTCTTATTTCCCTGTTGTCAGAACCAGGTTTACTGTCTTAAAAATAAGAAAACCCTTTTTGAAAATATCTTCAGTATTCATATGTGATCAAGGGTTTACCAGCTGATGTACACTCAACATTTCCAAGATCTGCTCTTAGGATATTCAGTAAATTCAGTTGATACACAGAAAATGATAGCCTTGAACTTCATCTCAAAACAATATGCAAGCAGTATTCACGTGTGGTTCAAAGTACTGCTTATGGGATGGAAGCACAGCAGTCCACATTGCAGGCAGCAGGTGTGTAGCATGCAGGACATGGGTTAAAGGAAATGATGAGGTGAAAGCAGAAGTGCTCTTTTGGTGGTGTCTTTGTCCTCAGGAATCAGCGTTCATGGTGTATATAGTGGTTGTCTAGACAACAGTTACTTAGCAACAAACATAAAGCAGACAAATGTGTCAAGATTAATTTTGTTGTGGTTATACTACACCATTGGGGGGCACGCGGTAGCGTAGTTGGTTGAGGCATTATGCTACAAGGCGGATGGTCACGGATTCAAGTTCCGATGAGCAATTGGATTTTTTTTTTCAATTGACCTAATCCTTCCAGCTGCACTATGGCCCTGGGGTTGACTCAGCCTCTAACAGAAATGAGCTGCTGGTTACAGAAATGTAAATTTTATAGGTGATGTTTTTGTCATTTTTTGACATTTTTAGGTTTAAGGTCATTTTTGGCCATTTTAGGGAATTTTTCTTCATATGTTTTCTGAAATGTGAATAATATGGAAGCGAAGTGTTCTTTCTCCTTTAGGTAATTTTTCTGGATTTTTTCAGTCATTTTTTAAATATTTTCAGGTCATCAAAATCTGGGCTCTGGTAATTATTCATTGAATGCCAAATGAGTGTTAAAATGTATCCATTTTTTGCATTAAGATATGTGCAGTTCAGTGACTGGTAATTTGAATCCATTTGATGATCTATCAAGATCAAAACATGTAGTAGTATAGTATATAACAACATAGTTTAATCTTTGACACCTTTTGTATCTCATTTTTAATGTTGCATAAATTGTTGTGTAGATTTTGATATTTCTAACAGGACAGGATGCAAAATATAAAGATGATATACTGCTGGGACAAATGCCCCAGTTGCTCATCTGCCTGTGTTCAGAAATGGGGGGGGGGGCTTTTTTTATTTCTTGGTTCTGTTAGCATTCTCTGTTGAAGTAATGTATGTGTTGATAAAATTTTCTCAGGCTGTCACCTATGTCAGTTAAAAATTACTGATGTTTCAGTGATCTTCAGACAGCATGAAAGCTTCCAGGCTTATATAATACATGTATGTGCATGTAACATCTTTGGATGTTGAACATCAGAAAGCATATTGTGTATGCTTGTTGAACCCCATAACTATATACAGTGAAAGGCCATAACTCTTTGGATGTTGAACATCAGAAAGCATATTGTGTATGCTTGTTGAACCCCATAACTATATACAATGAAAGGCCATAACTCCACGTTATGTACAAGTTATTTGGGAATTTCAAAAGGGCAGAGTTGAATAGCATAGAACTCATTGCACTTTTTCCAAGCTATTTGAAAGAGCCTAGGTTATTATGAACTGCAGAAGCGTAAGCCGTGGTTTGATGAAGGATGCTCAGAATTATTAGACCAAAGAAAACATGTCAATTGCAGTGGTTATAGAATCCAAGCAAAATAAGGGGGGATAATCTGAACAACATGAGGCATGAAATCAGCAGTCATATCAGGAACAAAAAGACAGAATATCTGAAAGACAAAATTGATGATCTTGCAATGAACAGTAAGAACAAGGACATTAGAGACCTGTATAGAGGAATAAATGACTTGCCGTTAAAGAGTGGTTACCAACCAGGGAGTAACATTGTGAAGGATGAGAATGGTGATCTGCTTTGCGGATTCTCACAACATTCGGAATAGGTGAACTACTCTGTTATTAAATTTGGAATCAGGAAAAATTGCCTGATCAGTGGAAGGAGTCTTATTATTGTAACAGTTCACAAGAAGGGTGATAAAACTGGCTGTAGTAATTATCAGGGGATATCTCTGTCACCAACTTCATACAAAAGTTTATCCAATATGCTCTCAAGGTTAAGTCCATACATAGGTGAAATTATTGGGGTTCATCAGTGTGGGTTTCGATGTAACAGATCAGCTACAGATTAGATCTTTTGCATTCGTGAGATATTGGAGAAAAAAATGGGAGTACAGTGAGACAGCTATTTGTAGAGTTCAAGAAAGCCTATGATTCAGTTAGGGGGGAAGTATTGTACAATATTGTGATAAGAATTTGGGATACCCATGAAACTAGTTAGGTTGATTAAAATGTGTTTAAACGAAACATATAGTAAAGTACGTGTAGGTAAACATTTGTCTAATAAATTTCTTATCCAGAATGGTCTAAAACAAGGAGATGCTTTATCAGCACTCCTTTTCAGTTGTACTTCAGAATATGCCATTAGGAATGTCAGGAAAACTAGGCGAGTCTGAAATTAAAAGGGATACATCAGCTGTTGGTCTATGCTAATGATTTGAATCTACTGGGTGATAATATAGATATCATAAAAAAACAAACTTTAATTGAAGAAAGCAGTCTTCTGGGATTTGGCACCGTGTATATTTGGTGTTAACTTTAATTGATGCAAGTAAGGAGGCCCTGGTTCGATCCTGAGTCTGGTCAAGTGGGATTTATGGTGGACAAAGTGGTGCTAGGGCAGGTTTTCTCCGAGTACTTCGGTTTCCCCTGCCAATCTTCATTCCACCAATTGCTCCACAATCACCCTCACCTATCATCTGGGGCTGGTACAATGGGCCAGAAGTGGCCGCAGTACAAGTGAAAGAAGTCTAGAAGTAAACACAGAAAACTAAGTGTATGTTGCTGACTCGTCATCAGAATGCAGGTGAAAATAATGACACAAAGATAGGTGGCAGATGTGGTGCAGTTCAGATAATAGGGAATGACTATGACGAAACCCTGATTCAGGAGGAAATTAAGAGGAGATTGAACTCAGGTTACGCTTTGCTACCATTCAGGCCAGGACCATTTGTTTTCTTGTCTGCTGTCTAAAAACAAAAATTAGAATATACAAAGCAAGATAGGTGGCAGATGTGGTGCAGTTCAGATAATAGGGAATGACTGTGACGAAACCCTGATTCAGGAGGAAATTAAGAGGAGATTGAACTCAGGTTACGCTTTGCTACCATTCAGGCCAGGACCATTTGTTTTCTTGTCTGCTGTCTAAAAACAAAAATTAGAATATACAAAGCTATAATTTACCTGTGGTTCTGTATGGGGGTTGAAACTTTGTCTCTAACATTAAGGGAGGAACATTGAGGGTGTTGAGAATATTTGGACCAAAGAGAGATGAAGCGACAGGAGATTGGAGAAAACTGCATCAGGAGCTTTGTAACTTCTACTCTTCTGCAAGTATAATTAGAATGATCAAGTCAAGAATGAAATAGGCAGGGCATGTAGCACGAGTGGGTGAGAAGAGGGATGCATAGAGGATAGTGGTGGGAAAGTCAGAAGGAAAGAGACCACTGGGAAGACCAAGACATAGCTGGGTGGGCATTATTAAAATGGATCTTGGAAAGAGGATTGGATTGATCTGGCTCATGATTGGGCAGTGGAAGGCTGTTGTGAATACAGTAACGAACCTTCGGCTTCCATAAAATGCAGCGAAGTTCTTGAGTAGCTGTACAATTGGCAGCTTCTCAAGAATTGCTCAGTTCTGTGAGTGAGTGAGCGAGCGAGCGTACAGTCGGAATATTTTCAATGTGACCTGCAGTACAATTAATAATACTAACCAGGTAATCATCTTATAGAAATTTGTTTCCCCAGGAAAATGTCATGTCTGAATGTTACATTTGATTTTGTGGTATGTTTTATAGTCAATATTTCTTGTGACCATAGTGTTTTTACATTTTCATATCACCTGCATTAAGATGTTTGTTTATTCCTGTGTAAATATTTGATGTTTGTGTGCCATTTTACATCTTGTTAGTGTTAGACTGTGCATTAAGGACAGTTTTGTTGTAGTGGGTTGCATTAATCTTTTTGGATTATGTGATGGGTTTGTTAGTATTTTGAATGAAGGCCTTAAACATTACAGTGCTTAAGGATTCCAGTTTTTCTTATGTAAATGCTGTATTTTTATTTCTGAAGTACTGGGTATGACTGTCTTAACCCTTGGACCTTCTCTGGTCTATGTTTTGTAGCTTTGCAGTTATGTTTAAATACTCAAGAAAGGGGGTAAACCTTGCCAGAAAGGGAGCATAAAACACCTGGAAAGGAACCAGATTCAGTCTTGTTAATAGTGCATATTAGGGTATTGTGTGCATAAAATGAGGATGAATGGCCTGCAAGCTTCCCAGTGCAGCCTGCAAGTGAATTCTGGTGACAGAAAAAGTAAAAAAAAAAATTGGATTTTTATCCAAAAAATATTTGTTGAAGCAGTATGCATGAATTGTAATTAAAGATATCTACATTTAAAACCCAGAATTGCTGTCATGTATACTGGAGCAGCTGTTTTGTTGTCAGGTTTTCATGATATTTAATGTTCTATTATTATAATAGTCAGGTGCATTGGCAGTGCATATTTGAACATCTTATGTTAACAAATCTTTGTGATTTGCTCTGTGATCTTGGGCTTCAGCTGTTGGAATTGGTTTTAGAGTTTCATAGCATTTTAAATTTCTGGATATTTTGTGTGGCAAAGTTCAGATTGCGTAGTGACATTGGGGGCATTGTATTAGTAAAGTTCTGTTTTGTGATGATGGGAAGCAAAATTACTATACTAGATTGCTGACTATACAGACATTTTCTTTGCATAAGGTTACTTGTTACAGTCTATCCACAGGGTTATTTAGGCAAAAAGTATGATCCCTCCATATGTTGTCCTTGGGCTTGCTAAGTGGGTTTTCAGTGATGTTACGTGTTAGTCTGAGTATCCACAGAATACCGATTTTAGTAAATTATACATGTACATAAATTCAAATTTCTACACAATTTCTTTAATTGATGGTCACACGTCTTACCTCCATAGGCTGTCTCTCTGTTTTATGGCAGTTCTTGTGCAGAATGACACACTTTCACATGTCTGTGCTACAATTTGGTGTAGAGGGTTTTGTTCTTGGAGTGCTAAAGTTGGTAATTTATATATCTATATGCAGTGAGGTTGGGCTGGGAAATGTTAAAAGACATCTGTGATATTCTTACAGTATGGCTAGTACCTTATCATTAAGGGGTATGTAACGATATGCACCCCCCTTTTCTGGTGTTCGTGTTTAAAGAAGCTTTCAGAAATTTGTATACTTATAGACTGGGGAAATTTGTGTTAAGCATTTTTAAATATAATTTGTAAATACTTTACCAGTAGGCGCAGGCACACCAGCTGCAGGAACAACTTACGATTATGGCTATGGGCGTACTGCCCAGACCGCATATGACAGCACAAAGACGTATTATCAGCAGCCAGCTGCAGCAGCTGCTACGTACTCAACGACTGATACTCATTATCAAGGTAATGGTAATGCTGTTCATAAAAGTTGTAATTTTTTTGAAAGAAGTTTTAAAATATTTTGTGTAATTCGTATGTCTTTGCACGTTAGCATCCAAACCAGCATTTAGTACAAGCACATACACTGCAACAACTCGGCAAGTGACTCAAGCAACCCCAAAAGCTGCATCTTACAGTTCTGCATACACTACACAGGGGACTCCAGGAGCAAGTTATTCAACAGGTTACACTGCTGCTGCACCTCAGACGACAAATACGACTAAAGGTATGTGTCACTGAATAATACACAAAAAATTTACCATATCTCAGAGCAGCTTAATTTAGAATAAAATTGTGTTGGTATAAAAAGTGCTTTAAAATTTGTGCTCTTTGTCAAATGTTTTTAGTATGGTCAAGGTGGATTAGATGGGCAGGACATGTAGCACGCTTGTGAACATGGTCATGAACTTTGTGTTTTGTAAAAGGTGGTGAATTTCATAGGTGAGTGGCTGTAGCCTGTCAAGATGGGCTCAGACATGTTGGCAAACAAACACACCAGTGACTAGTGGGTCTGGAAAGGGGGCCATTCCGCTTTGTCCGGATAATTAAGGAGCTACTTGAGTGGAAAAGTAGTGGCTCTGGTCTAGAAAACTGATACTAATGGCCATGGGGATTTGTTGCGCTGACCACGCAACACCCTCTATCTGCTAAAGTTGGCACTGACTTCGCCAACAAGCAGCAGTCACTCGGTCGGTATAGTTTGCTTGCAGATTAAAGTCATGGGGTTTGTTTTTTTTTTGGTAGGTAAGAGTAGTTTGTATTTGCAAGTTAATTCAGTAAATCCCATTATCAGTCCAAACCCTGTGTGTAGTCACTAACATGTGACAGTATACTGAAATTCAGTACTTGCAAGCATGGCAGCATAACTCCTGGATTAAGATAGGCTGCCATCCCAATACTATCTGTTACGAACATGGTAATGAAGTTTGGGTTTCACAGGAGATGGTACTCCACATTTAATGACTCCGTGAGAATGGCTTATCGTACACAAAACCAGGTTTTCGTTAAATGTGGGTTATGCAAAATTGCACCAAGAAACTTAACTTCCTGCATACAATTATGATAAAATAATATTTCTAAACAAGTGTTTCAAGAAACTGTTTTGACACAGTTAAAATTAAGTATTCAGTAATGTCAAGTAATGTTTGGAGTAATTGTTGACAACATGGGTCGTATGGAACGAATGTCCATCATCGAAAGAATATTGATGATTTTGACCATAATTGCACAAAATCAAAGTATGAGCCCCAGAAGGTCAAACTAACACTGAATGTGCATTATAATGTCAAGCTTCACTGGATATGGAAAAATAACAGTGCTGTTTATATTGAACTTGGGTTAGAACCAGGTAAAATATTCACCAAATCAGAATTTTGCAATCATTTTCTCATGAAGGACTATGCAATGGAGTTATTCACAGAATATTGTAACAAATTGTTAAAGAGATCTGAGAATTTTTCTTTACATGCCAATATACAAAAATGGAATTTGTATATCGTTCATGGTTTCACAAAAGAATCTTGTCATATGATATTTTCTTCCTTGTGTGGGTTTTCTAAGTGACGATTAGAAATTTCAAAAGAAATGCTTTTAACATGTTCCTATATAGCTGCCGCCAATACAACATATTCAGGATACGATGCAGCATTGTACAGTGCTGCCACCATGTATGTGGCACAGCAGGCGCAGACTGGCGCAGGAACTGGGGCAGCTGCTGCAGTCACTACAAACACAGGTACTGCAAAATCAACCAGCTCTTGGCAAGGATACAAGAAAGGACCAATGTCTGGTGGTATGAAGACCATGAAACCAAAGCAACCCCCCAAACCACAGCAGCTGCACTACTGTGATGTTTGTAAAATCAGCTGTGCAGGTCCGCAGGTAGGAATCATTGGAAAGAGTGTCTTAGCATAGTAGTATATATGTTGTGACGTGGACGGCGCAACGCTCGGTAACCTCCCCCCCCCCAGGTGACATAACAGCATCGGAGCAACTGTCGCTGCTACAGTAACAGGCCAGTCAACACTCCGTCCCCATCCCCCCACGGTGACGTAACAGCACTTCCGGAAGTGTTGTTACTGGGCAACGCTGCCGAGAGTTGTTTATTGCTGCATAGTAACCGCAGTGTCCCGTGTTACGTCACCCTGGGAGGCAACGGAGTGTTTACCGAGCGTTATGTAATAATGGGAGGAGTGGGGGTACGTGACGTCACTCGTGGAAACTCAGAGTTCATGTGACCCCTACTTCCTGTTGCGCCATCCATGTCACAATATTTTGTTCTTGTCCTTGGCTTTTAGCAGTGTGTTACATTTGTACCTTTGCTTTGGGGATTTGGCTGTGTTGTTTGTTAAGGCTGTTCACAGTACATCTGGAGTTGGTGTCTTTAATGTGGTTGAAGTAAAATGAGTCACTGGGGCTGAAATACTGGTTAGGAGTGACAGTGGGGGTGGAGCATATTTAAGAATGTGGTGTGTTGCAAGGGCCATCCACTTTTTTCATTCTTTGTTTTCCATTTCATTCTCAGTCCACCATATTATTCTGGAGCATCAGCAATAGAATTGCAAAAATGCAGCTACTTAGCTTTCTCACATCTGTTTGCATGTAACAAGGTAGGAATTGCTGAATATTTGTATGAAATTTGTTCTTTGGTTCAGTTAAAGTTTGATGGCAGTAGCAGGTACTGGAAATGAGAAATGACTTGTGGTTCTGCACATCTTAAGCGCATAACTCACTAAATATTTGTTGGAACAAAATTTGTTAGGAAAGAGAAACATTTTGTGTCCACACTTTTTTGCCCATAAGTCTTAAAAGTTTTTGATGTAATTGAGGGAAGGTTATGCTTGAATGTCTGTAGACAGTAACAGAGAAAACCTACCATAATTGTTACAGTATGCGTTAATTTTCTCATTATATTTAATTTCTTTGTGAAAAATGCATGTGTATTCAAAGATACATGAATGGAAGTTTAAATGGAAAGATGTGTTTAAATGGGACAGTTCCATTTCAAACCATAGAGACAGGCGTGGAGAAGAGGCCATGAGTATGAGTTGAATGTTTGCTGAACATGACAAGAAAATACAGGAAATGACCTTGTTGACAATAGGAATAGAAAGGGTTAATAGTGTCATTCTTTCCAGCAGGGCCTTAAAAGTGGTTTGTTGTTTGCAGACATACCGTGAACATCTAGAAGGTCAGAAGCATAAGAAAAAGGAATCTGCATTGAAACTTGGGTCAGCTCCAGCAGCTCGAGGTGGCAACGCCCTGCGTTGCGAGTTGTGTGATGTGACTTGTACTGGCTCAGATGCCTATGCTGCACATATCCGTGGAGCCAAGCATCAGAAGGTAAGAATTTGCAGGCCCACATAATATGTACATTCTTAATGTGTGGATATCAGGCAAGTACTGTGACTACACAGCAGTACTTTTTTAACACAAGTTTTTTATTTGCGAAGTTCAGGAAGTGGCCACGCAAACAAGTTTTTCCGACACCTTTGGATTCTCAGAGTCCTGATTTGTGGAGGTAACTGTGTGTAGGATCAGATGGTGCTCAATTCTGGACCCATTTGTACTTGCTCTGAGAACTTTCTCTGCCAAAAACTCTTGCCGTACACATATGCTTAAATGCAGTGTATCAAATCCATTTTCACCCATGGTCCCTAAGTACAGGTATGTTTGTGACAGTGGCTTTGATCTGTTGTAGGCTTTAACCTCCAACTTCTCTGCAATACAGATCTGCAGATAAACTGTTTATGTATGGGCCTCCTGTTTTGAATGTTTTCTTATTTGGGCGTCCGGGTAGGGTTGTACTGGTTTGGTGTTGTCATTTGGGACTAACGTGATGTGCCAGTGATGTTAGGAAATGAAGGGTTTCGTATCGTGTCTGGTTTTGTGCAGAGGGATGGTCATGTGATCTGTACATCATTGTCTCCTGCATTCTACAGGGTGATTCATATAGAACCGGCCTGATGAAATGAGGTGTAATATAAAATATACCATACAGATATTAAAGTAATTTACACATATCTTATCTTGGATTGTGTGTCCCGATCAGAGCAGGTGTTGAAAGTGTCTGCCGTTTTCAAGTAGGCATTAGAAATACTCGGTGTTCAACAGTGTACTCCGTGACTGTCGCCTGTGCACTGCAGACACGTTTTGGCATTGTCCTTGACCTTGCAGCATAAGGGCCGCCACTTGCCTGATCGTGCACACACCATTCGACTCAGCACGGCCCACGGATTATTATGTTGTAATTGTGAGTCGTTATATGCATCACCTGCAGAATTATTAGCAAATTCATCGAGCCGGTTCTATACGATTCACTCTGTATTAGTTTGTTGTTAACATGGGGAACTAACATGTGTATGTATTAATTAAAAACTGAATACACTTATATTTCGTCTAATGTAAGTAGAGTATCAGCGATGATGTCTATGAAAAGATAATATATTTGACATGTTGACTGCCATGGGTTCATGATGTCTGAAAAACATTCTCTTTGCAGCTGTGGAGGACACTAGTGCCCACTGTATAATGCCTGGCCCCTTGCTAATCCAGTTACAGTTAATTTGGAGCAAAATATGAGAAATCCTTTTCATAGTTGAGTACATAATTTGAAAAAATACATGGCATTTAGGATCAAGACGACTTTCAGACTGTGTTGAGGTCAGCTGCAGAGACTGAAACCACACAAAAAATATCCAAGATTGGCTTGAGCTAGATGGAGGCAACCCTGCATTTCAGCCTATGACAGAGGAAGAAATTGGTGCAGCAATATTTTATTTTTTGTCAGCATTACCTATATTATTTAATTTTCCATGTGTTTTCATTAATCTGGATTGGCAAGGGTTTACTAAATTAATAAGTTGAAGCTGGGACTAAAAATGTAATAATAGCAGTCAGTATGTTGAGTCCCCCCCCCCGGTGGTCNTAGGGTGGTCATCTCTGTGTGATAACAATATCCATGACTGCTGTGAAATTAATAGCTAGTTCACATCATTTCTACTTGCTATAAGTGCACAGACCAAATGTTACAGCAGTGATTTTTTTGATGATCTTGCTGTGGAGTCTCAGGTTCAGTCCTGGGTGACTCTACATGAGGTCTGTGGTGTACAATGTGGCACTGAAACAGAATTTCCACAGGAATGTTAGGTTTTCCCCTTCCAGTCATCACTCCACCAGAGCTCTTTAGTCTCTGTCCTGTGGTGTGAGATGGTTTGAACCAGGCAGCACATTATCACATCCTTGGTCTTTAGGTTGGTGGCATCATCTGTGGCCTGGCTTCTTGCTGGTTACAGAGTAAGGAGGTCTCTATATTGTGACATGTGACCCCTACCTCCCCGGCGGTAACGTAGCGCTTGCGTAATAGGCGAGTAATCACCCCGCATCTTGGTAGCTATGCAATGCGCAACGCGCGGTGACGTCACCGAGGGATATCGCAGTTGCTAGGCAGCAGTCAACAACTCCGGACAGCGTGGCTAGCAACAAGGCACCAGACGACAATTGTCCGATCAAGGCTACATAAGGAGCAGCGAAGGCTATTCACAGTCAGTTGTACTGTGACAGCCGCCGAGTTGTAAAGTAACAGTCGCCGAGTCAAGTTGTCTTGTGGCTACCGCAGAGTTAAGTACTAGTCGAGCGAGTGTGTTATCAAGAGTCCTGCAGTCAGCCGACTACAAGTTGGAATATAGCAGCCGTCGCGGAAAGAAGAACCGGACGTGTGTGTGATTGTGTAATTGGGAGCGTGTGATACAGTGATACATAGCTCCCCTACTGTAAACGTGTAGACTACTGAAGACAGAGTGAGCTGATTTGCGCATAGGGTTATAAATCGTGAAACCCCGCAACAGTGGTAACAGATTATTGCGATTAGGGTTATAAAGTGTGAAACCCCGCAACTGTGTGATAAGTAATTGTAGCTGTTATTTGTAGATTGTTAAATAAACAAATTAACCATCTCTACGGCGTCTTCGGTAACGTAAACACGTTACAATATGTTAGCAAAACTTGGCAGAAAGCACACAGGTGCTTCATTGCATATGTCCACCTGCATGTAAAGACTTCCAGAAGATTTTTGTGGCAGTTTATAATAGCGAGTTTCACCAAAAATCGTTTGATGCCAGTTTTAGTTAAAATTTGGTAAAATTAACACACTACATGAAGACCCAAATGCATTTTAAAAAATTATCTCATGTCTGCACCTTCATTAATGAGAACCCACAGGGAGAGCCAGGCTATGTCCATTCTGTCTGTTAATCTTGTAGCAGTTCACAATCTAAATGAAGATGTCAGAGACTCGGTTTAAACTATGGTGTAACATGCTGGTTGCTGTTATATTTATGTCTAGTTTACGGAGGTAATTATAAGTTCCTTACATGGCTTTGGTTCATGTAAAGGTGCTTACAAAGGATGTTAAGTAAATCTGTATGACTTGTAGGTTTCAGGTTGACTGAAAGTGATAACATGAAATTTTCATGAAAGTCTATGTGACGCAAGTTTGTGTTGTCCATCCCCATGACTCAGTCTGTTACACAAATTTGAAAGGTGAAAATTTTCCCAACTATTTTGTAAGAAGAGCCTTAAAAAGCTGGGAGTTTATCATGTTTTAATCATGAAAGTCCCCTGTAACTGTCTTGAGTCCAAATCTGTGCCCCTGTGACAAGCAGTTTGTGATGATGCGTATGGCAGTGTTCTTATGTGGCCATAGTATCTAATAGCATTGAGCATAAGGGTGATATCAAAAAGGAACTTATGTTGGTGTGTAAATGTGAATGAAGTTGACCCCCCCCCCCAAAAAAAAAGTTCTGTGTCACTATTAATGTTTATAAGACTATTTAGTTTTAAATAGATTTTCTTGTAGGTTGTATGGCAAATGAGTGACTGGTCATGATTTTTTTAAGTGCAACATTCCTCTGTTGATGCATTCTTGAAAATGTGTCCATATTGTGAAAACATGTGATTTAAACCTCTTCTTCCACTGTCTCACATGTTGTAAGCAGAGATACATTTATATGGTAATTTTGTCAGAGTACAATTGTAAATAAAACGCTTGGTCCCAATCAAATTTATAAGTGCACTTTGTGTTCCCTTTCAGGTATACTACCTGCCCTGCCCAGGATAATACAAGGATAATATAAGAATGGGAATAGCAGCTGCACTGTGAGCTGTCCTGGGGCACGCAGTAGCGTAGTTGGTTGGGACACTATGATACAAGCTGGAAGGTTGTGGGTTCAAGTCCTGATGAGGTCATTGGATTTTTTTCAGTGACATAATCCATCCAGCTGCACTATAGCCCTAGGGTCAACTCAGCCTCTAACACAAATGAGTACCAGGAATATTCTTAAAATATTCTTGGGGGGGTAAAGAGTGGCTGGTGCGTAGGGCTCTGACCTCACCGCCATCTATGAGCCAGTTGTCTAGAAAATGTGGGAACCTCAACATCTCACAGCCCTATGGGCCTGCACGGCCTGTTACAGGGATACCTTTACTTTTTTACTTTTACTGTGAGCTGTCCCATTACATCAGTGATGCATGCATGTTGGCTAGCCACTCAAGCAGTTACATATGTGTATTCTGCCACGTCACTGACTCACGCATATATGCAATCTGAATTTCTGTACAAATAGCTTTTATTGATTAATTTGAATTTTGTATTAAAAAATAAAATTCCAAATTTCCTTTAATGTAAAATTCCACAGTCTGAAAATTGATATTGTTGTGCACTGTACTGATGGTGGAAGGTGTTGAAAATCAGTACATTGCAGAGTTATGTGCTGTGGCTGTGTGTGAGAGAGAAATGGAATAATTTGTGAAATGGTTTGTTTTACACGGTGTCTTTGTTGAAACTTCAATATTAATAATATAATAATTGTATTCAGTTGGTGAAGCTGCACACAAAGCTGGGAAAGCCCATACCGTCAACAGAACCAGTGGTTGTGGGTGGTGGAATTAAGACTACAACAGGTACAACAGCATCCACTACTACCCCAGTAAAAACTGTGACTACCACTGCAGCAAAACCTGCAATACCAGGGGCTGCCAAGAAAACTGTTACTGCAGCACCTAAGATTAATTTTGTTGCAGGTAAAACATTGATGTAGCAATGTTTGTGCCAAGCGTACACTCTCCCTTGGTAGACATTTATCTCATTGTTTTGGCATAAGTTCATTTCATTTGGGATAGAATTAAGCGGATCTTCCCCTGTTATCAGCTACTCAAGCCATGGGACATTTAAACCCTACTCATTTCTGGGTACAGAGGATGTTACACATGAGCTGGATTTTATCTTTGCACTGGATGTGCTCTGTACGTTGGATGGTGATGACTGACATGCTACGTACATTGGTCGGCGTTGACGGTTTAACTTATGTGTATTTCTTCTTGGAGGTGTAAGACAGGAATCTTGACTGGAATTGCAGTCCATAATGATATACATTCTGTAGGCAGTCTACGCTTTACACTTGCTCATGCATGTTTTAATCCTGCTCATATGAATTGCCGTTTTTAGCTGAAAAGTACTGTGGATCTCAGAAGTATGTGCTGTAGCTGTGCATTATTTGTTTAATGCACAAATGTGGAAATGTAAGGAAAAGTCTGCTGAATATTTTGGTTAGTTGCTGTAATCAGTGCTAAAAAAAGCTTGTGTCATTTGTTTGCATATCTTCATTGTTAACTTTCACAGATTAGTGCATTGTCTGAAATAGTCTTCACCCTCTGAGGAAGGAAGTATGGCTATATTAATGATGTGCAGCTTTGTAATTTGTGGCAGAAGAACATCATGTCACTAAGCTGTGCATCTTATTCCCACATCAGGATAAAATAAATTGCATATTGGATGGGAAGTGCTTGGGTGCTGCTTTTTTGCATCTGTAACACATTTGTTGTACGTTGGATGTGTATCGAAGCATGTTGATATTTGGGGTTTGAGATTCTGGCAGTGGTGAGTAGAGTCGTTTTGGGATGTGGCGCTGCGGAGTTCGGTAGATAATTAATGTTTCTGTGTAATATAGTTTGTTCCTCTTCGCATTATTGAAAATGGTTGCAGTACATTCCTTAGACACATTGATGCATATCTACCACGTACGTGGTGTGTTCAAAAAGTATCGAGCCTTCTTTGATCCCTGCGTAAACCAATGAAGCGTGGGAGGCTCCCTTTGGTGGAGATGTAGAGGGGACATTCATGCGCAGTAATGAATTTTTACCCGCCCGCAGAAAGCGTCAGTCGCTGGCAGTCGGCCTATGAGTGAGGACGTGTAGTGAGTGCTCGTCGGATTCCAGTAAGGTGTAAAATGACTGAACAGCATGAGCAGCGCATCAAATTTTGCCAAAAGCTTGGTGATACCCAAGTGGAAACCATTCGCAAGATTCAACAGGCTTTCGGGGATGATGCCACGAGCAAGTCACAGATAAAGGAGTGGTACAACCGCTTCAAAGATGAGCGCACATCAGTGGACAGCGAACCGCTTTCAGGCAGACCCTCAACAAGCCGAAATGAGAACGTCATTGAGCAAGTGCGGACTTTGGTCATGGAGGACTGTCGTATGACAGTCCCAGAACTTGTGAATGAGATAGGGGTAAGCATTGGATTGGTACATTCAATTTTGACCGAGGATTTGGGCATGAGGAGAGTGTCCGTGAAATTTGTACCAAAACTGCAAACAATGGAGCAGAAGCAACGCTGTCTGGAAATCGCACAGGACATGCTGGACAATGCAAACAGTAACCCCAACTTTCTGAACACCATGATTACAGGCGATGAGTCATGGGTTTATGGGCACGACCCAGAAACCAAGATGCAGTCGTCACAGTGGAAACATCCGACATCCCCGAGGCCAAACAAAGCACGGCAGGCCCGCAGCAATGTCAAGGTCATGTTGGCCATTTTCTTCGACTCCCGTGGTGTTGTGCATCATGAGTACGCACCACAAGGCCAAACCACCACAAAGGAATACTACCAGGAGGTCCTCCATTGCCTTCGTGATTCTGTGTGGCGCAAACGACAGGATCTGTGGGCAATCTCCATCATGATAATGCACCCGCCCATTCTGCGCATCTGATTCAGACTTTCGTCCTCAAACACAACATCCCTGTGGTTTGTCAGGCGCCCTACTCCCCCGACATGGCTCCGTGTGACTTTTGGCTATTTCCCAAGCTGAAAATGCTGCTGAAAGGAACCCAGTTTGAGTCAAGAGAAGACATCATGCGAAATGTGATGGCCCGGCTGATCACCATTCCAAAAGACGCATTCCAGAAGTGTTTCCAACAATGGCGGAAGCACTGGGAGAAGTGTGTGCATTACCAAGGAGACTACTTTGAAGGGGATTAGGGTTTTGTACCTCCAAATCAGTAAATGTATTTCTGCTGACCAAAGGTTCGATTCTTTTTGAACACACCACGTATATGTTTTCACATCTTAGAAGGTTGTGATTCTGTTTGTGTCTTGCTGTGAAACTTTTTTTTTTTTGTTTTTCGTTTTTGTGCTGAAATTTCAGCATATTTCATCTAGTAATTTGAAGATAGGCGTTTCTTTTGCATATCGCAAACTGCTCCTATCAGGTGTAAATTATATTTCCAGTTGTAGTTTTTATCTGACCCTACATCTGATTCATAACCTACTTCTCGTGCAATATTCATGTCCTGTTTATGCAGGAAGGAAGGAAAATGCATTGTAGTTAACAGTGGTAAGGGAAGAACGCGAGGATGTAAGAAAAGAGGGCACATGGGTTGCTGTTGCATATAGGTCATACTCTCATTTATGGTGGAAATTTGGCATTCTAATTTTCCACAACTTTTATATAGGTATGAGTTGCCATTCCATTTCAGTTTGGCACACAAAAATGGTATAGTTCATCACATGCGTGTGGCATTATTTGTGTTTGGAAATTGTCTCACTTCTGTTCTGTGTACAGCCAGCAGAAATGCAAGTAATGTGGGTATTGTCAGTATGGAATATTTTCATATCTCAGTTTTAAATGTGGTGGAATGTACTGAAGAAAGCTGGAACAGCAGTGATAAGAAATCGTGACATCAGTGTAAAGAGTAGTCTCATACTCCAAAAGGTTTACAAATGAAAATGGATGTGTTCACCTAATGAATTCAGTGTGCAAAGCCGAAAGTTTCTGTCACTTGAAAGAGGCTTGGTTGGTTTCTTCTGCAACAATGATTGGCTCAAGATACTTGTCCGAGTGTAATGGAACTATTTCTTTTTGCTGTTCCTTGATTGGATAACATTTGGCATTCCTTTTCACATGTTATTAAATCTCTGCATTTATATCCCACTGACGTATATGAGTTCTGTTCTTGATAACGTATTGTCTACCTTTAATTGTATTTTTCGTTGTTTGACCATTTGTTCGTCTGGAGACATGGACCAGCATGTTGATGCGTGGTCCTTGATGGGTCTGCCATTTTTGAGTTCTTAACAGCAGCTGCTATGCATAGTATCCTATCAAGAGGTTGCCTTGTCTTGCGTTTTGGAAATTACAATCATAGCTTCTTTGTGAATTTAAGAGAATGAAATTTTCTTTTATCATCTGTGAGATGTTTGGTCATGTGTCCTGTTCTTGGTCTAATGCAGGAGCGGGATTGCATCGTCACTTGGTAACGTAGCCCATTGTATTACCATTAGAAAGTTGATAGATGCTGTTTTATTCATACACCAGTGGGAAATAGAAACCTGTATACAGGGTTTCTCCTGTAAGGTTGCCTATATGAGGTATATTGTACCTGATTCATAGAGTAGGTGGGTTGTCCAATTCATGCCATCTTTTCAGTGGTCTTCCTAAAATTTTCTTTCCATGCTTCCATGTTTTTCCTAGTTATTTTTTTATATAAATTAGGCGAGGTAATAGAATTTGTAATTCTCCTGCATTGTCCTCATTTTATTCCTGGGTAGTCATTAGATGTCTATACTGTTAAAAATTTTTGGAGCTTGAAAGCAAGATGTCTGCTAATTTCTTGCTGACCAAGAAACATTTTAGTGGTAGGGTTGCCACTTTTCTCCTCTGGACAGGGTTAGAGGTGCCATTTTCCCCAGATCTGATGAAATGATGTGGCCGTGACTTCGCCTGCAGAAATATGAATGTGGGCTTGGAATTCGGCATTTCCACTTTTCAGTATATCTGTAGCTGGGAGTTGGGTATTTTGTAATACGTTTGCCATATTCCTTTGTATGGTGGTTTGCTTATGTGATCCTTGTCCCTTTAAGTCATGCCACATTTTTGATGTGGGTAGTATGTAGAGTATTGGTATGCACTGTAATTGTGATATGATAGTGTCAGAGGGAACTATTAAAGGTGCTGCAGGTTAGAACTTTACAGTATATCAGTTGAATATATACTTCTGAATGAAACATACATATGCTCCTCAGTATGCTATGGTTGCAAGAAAGATTGCTGCCCATTGGAAGAGAAATGTGTTCACAATATTTTGAGTTCCGAAGACAATACCGTAGTTGAGTTGAGGATTACTATCTTCTGGGATGTGACATTGTGCAATTTGATAGACAGGCACAAGTGTTTTAGAAGAAACGGCTGCCTCAGTCTCCAGGGTTGATGTTGTAACACTGGTACCCGTTTAGCAGACCACATGGCATTACATCCCAGAAGACTGATTTAACCAACCTGAGAACCTCAAACCTGGGTTCCATAAATTAATAGCAAGTGTTGGGAATTTTGAAAAGTGGGAATAATGTGTTTGAACACTTGCATGAGAAATTCAGACAGTTCTGTATATCTCATTTCATGTATTTTAAAGGAAATTTTACTTGAACCCAGAATTTTCTTCAGTTTAGTAAAACAGATTTAAGAAAAATGACTGCAAGATAATAGTCATAAATTGGGAACAAGCAAGGCATTCAGCTGTAGAGGAAAGATAGGTATTACATACTTGTATATAATATAATCTAGTATGTAGTGCGAAGACGTGTAAAATTCAGGTCTCATTGGGAATTTTGAAAAGAACTGAAACGTGTGAGTTGTCTGAACTGAAACGAAGAGAGTTCGGGAGTGTATGAAGTTCCCTCTATGCTCACCGTCCATGTATTTTGTCGATAGGCTGCAGTGTCAGGAATAGGGGAGAAGAGAAATGTATGTGACTTGTTTGTTGGGAGAGCATCTCGCTAAGCAGCTCCTAGGAGAGGGTGTTCTTGAATGTTTTACTCTGTATGTGCCATAAAATTTAACATATTTGTCTAGCCATTATTTTTAAGACTTCATCAATATGTGGCTGAAAATATATAGTACAGTTAGTTATATATGCAGTGTTTGATTTTGTCACCCAGTTTTGGTTTGAGGTTTTCACAGGTGTCAAGATTTGTGTGGATTTCTGTATGAACAATATAGTGTGGTAGGTGGGCATTGTTATTGTCTCTGTCCCTTATACATGGGATGGATATTGGGGCAGTTAACCCAAAATACTAGGTGGTTCAAATATGACCGGGACTGATTTTTTTGTAAACAAGCTGCATTGCACAGCAGCTGTGCGACCTTGAGAGAGTGAAGCCACAACCTCCACCCTCCCTCCTGTTAGGGTTAGAACCTGTTCAATCCTGTCTGGAAGTTGCTAGAGTGATGAGTGAACAGAAGGTACTGCGGAGCGTGGAACAACACATTGTGATCAAATTCCTCGGAGAAAACGTCCCGTCCGCTGAAATTCACCACAGACTCCAACAACAGTATGGGGAAGAGTGTCTCTCACGGACCCGTGTGTTTAGTGGTGTAAGTGCTTCAGAGAGGGCAGAGAGCACGTGGAGAATGAACCGCATGATTGTCGGCCGCGGCTATCCGTCACTAAGGCAAACATTGATCGTGCAGAATAGGCGCATCACTATCAAGGAACTTGGAGCAATGCTGTCCATCAGTGTGGGTAGTGTAGAAGGAATCGTGAAATACCACCTGCACTATTGCAAGGTGAATGCACGGTGGGTACCACGCACTTTGATGGATGTGAACAAAATGGTGTGCATGCAAGCTGCCAGTCGTCTCCTACAGCAGTTTGAAGACAAACGTGATGCATTTTTGAGGTCTGTAGTGACCACCGATGAAACGTGGGTGCACTACTACATTCCCAAGTCCCAGCAGTCATCACGCAAGTGGCGACATACCAGTTCTCCCAAACCCAAGAGAGCGCGGAGGAGCCATTCAGCAGAAAAAGTGATGGCAACGTTCTTCTCGGACTGGCAGAGGGTTATCCATGTAGACTTTCTGACAGATGCCAGGACAGTCAATGCAGCTTATTATTCAAACCTCCTGGCAACAGACATGAAGGAAAAGCTCCGATCCAAGCGGAAGGCAGGTGGAAAGCGGGTAGCCTTCCTTAAAGACAATGCATGCCCCCATACGGCCAAAACAACAATGGAAACCCTCCGGAAATTGAAATGGAACCTTCTGACACATCTGCTGTACAGTCCCAATTTGGCCCCAAGTGATTTGTACCTGTTCCGAAGGCTCAAATCAGACTTGCAAGGCATGCGGTTTGTGGACGACACCGTCATCCAGACTGTTCGGGAGTGGATATGCTGCAACCACAAGCTGTTTTTGAAAAGGGCATCAGGATGCTTCCAGAATGTTGGAAAAAATGTGTTGACTCCAGAGGGGAGTACGTTGAAGACTGACATGTGCAAGTAAGTGTTTGGCAATTTTGGTTTAAAAAAGAAATCAGTCCTGGTCATATTTGAACCACCTTGTACCAATACCAGTGAATGACACTACACAGTGTCATAAGGATGCCACACTATTGGTTAAGTATGGTGTGAAATTTGAAAAGGAAAACAAAAATCCTTTTATAGTAACTGAACAGTGTGTGTGATGTAAGACCGTATGTGCTTGTTACAGCTGGGTCCTTGGGGACAGTTGGAACGGCAGCAACAGGTATCAAGGCTGAGATAGCTGAAGTAAAATCTGAGATAAAGGAAGAGCCTGTTATGTCTGACTCGGAGCTCGCGCTAAGTGATAAAGATGTCCAACCGGTTGGTCAGGACTATATCGAGGAAATTAAGAACGAAGAAGGTGAGTGATGGTTTTTTTTTTTGTCATGTAGAGTAGATCTGTTGAGAGCATGCGGGAGTCAAAGGGGAAGTTGGTTGGTTTGTTTGTTTCCAATGGCTGCATTTGGGATCATTTAACCCATTTTGCTCTTGCTTCCCAATAGAGAGCACTCAAGTCCTTGCTTTGTTGCATCTTGAAGAAGTTTGAACTTTTCTTTTGGGAAGCTTTGCCAGGTTTGTTGCTCATTTTGCACTACCCAGGGTACATGTATGACTTAAAGAATGTCACAGACGTGAGCAACCTTTTCCCCCTCATAGGGGAATTATAGGAAGCAAAAATGTGCGTGTGTGCAGTAATGTAAGTAAAGTTAGAGAGCTTACTTGTAAGTTGTATTTGAGACATTTTACTTTCATTTATATGTGAATGCACACCGGTAATTAACATTAATGTTCAGGATAGCTAAACACTTCAATACTGTGGAACACTTAAAGATTTTGAAAGGAGAGGATACCTGGTGATAGTCCAAAATGTTTAGTTTGAGTATCAGTTTATGTGTACTAGAAATGACATGCAAAATAGTAATGAGAATTTTATAGTTTATTTCATTTGCTAGGCCCTGTTGGACATTTGGGGTCGTAAGTCCTTTCCTGAGATGTTTTGAGACTGCTAAATTTGAACTCTTTGTATTGAAAATGTGAGAGTAAGTCCTCTGAGCAATACATCCTTTTTTCGCAGTAGTGCGATGTGTGGGTGACGAGTTAAAGAATGGTTGTATTATAATGTAAGAGCAGTGTTATTGGGATTTTTATAACTGCATTTGTTTTGTTCAACGAAGTGTGTACATTCTGTTCAGTTTCCAACTGTTAAAGTTCATGTTTCTAATTTCTTTAGGTAAAGTTATCAGTTTCAACTGCAAATTGTGCGAGTGTCGGTTCAATGATCCAAATGCCAAGGAAATGCATATGAAAGGTCGTCGTCATCGACTTCAGTATAAGAAGAAGGTGAATCCAGAATTGGTTGTGGATGTGAAGCCATCTTTGCGGCAACGCAAGCTGCAGGAGGAGAAACTTAGGAGACAACAGATGAGAGATGAATACTGGAGACGCCGTGATGAGGAGCGGTGAGGAGCTTATGTGTAGATTCCATGTAGCTGAGCCCTTCTTGAGAAGCCAGTAGTCAGTCAGCAACACAAGAATTTCCTCAATATTTATGGAACCCAAATTTTTACCTTTATTGTACACCAATATACCATTATTATATGTAGTTGTATAGATGGGCCATTGTAGCTATATATCTAATGCAACATGGTGTTCTACACTTTTTTATTTGTCTAGAATGTTTATGTAGTTCACTTTTGTTCCTGGACAGGATGATGGAAGAGGAAGAAAGGATGTACTGGGAGGAGCGCCGTCGGTATGAAGAGGAAGTGGAATACTTTGAATGGTACAGACGTTATGGAAGAGATCATCGAGGTTTGCCTCCACCTCCCCCAAGACCTTTTGGGCCAGGTGTGCCACCACTTATGGTAAGTATTGTTTCATGTGGTTTTTGTGCATGCAACAGGAGTTGTACCCTCTTGTGCCAGTAGATCAGTTAAGTGTATGATAGTTCTTGTGATACATTTTAACTGTGGCTTGAGGGCGTAAAGTGTTGGTCTGCCATGCATATGTAAATAAATGAATTCAGGCCACTTAAGCCTTGATTCCATATGCAATCAAAGCCAGTCATGGTGTGAGGGTCATTTCACACTCATCCTGCTGAGTCTCAGTTAAAGGCCACCATGATTGTGTTGTATTTGGGATGGTTTCTCTCTCTATTTTTATTCCCGTCACTGGCAGGTGCCTGTTTCTTTTGTGGTGCTGTATTCCACAATATTGTAGCATCCTGTTGTACTTTTCACTTAGTGTTAGTTAGTTCTACAGTCTTAAGTGCAGCAATTTATTAAAACCTACTAAAGCCAGTCACTTTAAAAGTTTTTTATGACATGCTTCAACCAAAATGGTCATCATCAGGTGTTACAAGTTGTTGGTGAGGAAACTGCCTTCTTTCTGCTTTGATGCATAGTTGTTGATGTATGGTTCCCATAGTGCATATGAATTTTTTCTTGCTGCTTTGTTACTTGTTTTGTTTCCAGCTGTGCACCCACAACATTTTAACACCTGAAGATGGCCACTTTGATCGAAACATGTTGTAAAAAACTTATGAAGTGACTAGCTTTTAATAAGTTTTAATAAATTGTTGCACATAAGACTGTAGAACTGATTATCACTAAGTTGTATTTAACAGTTTTTTTATCTTGTACAGAGTGTTTCAAAAAGAGCTTTACAACTTTGAAAGCTTATATAAATTTATACAGAGGACATACACAACGTTTTGAACTGTCGTAATGTAGCAAAACACACCGAGTTTTACCTCGGATAGTTATCGTTCAATGTGACTTCCATTGGTAATGCGGCAGACGTCCCATCTGTAGTCAGTCTCTTGCCACACACTACGTAGCATCTCTGGTGTCACTTCTGCAGCTGAGGCAGTAATTCGAGTTTGGAGCTCAACAGCATTTGCAGGCAAAGGTGGTACGAACACACTATCTTTAACGAATCCCCATAAGGAAAAATCCAGGGGAGTAAGATCCGGGGAACGAGGTGGCCATGCTATTGGTGCCGCTCTACCAATCCACCGACCTGGGAAATGGGTGTTGAGGTACTCGTGCACTTCTCCAAGGTAATGAGGGGGTGCACCATCTTGCTGGGAGTGAATGCGTCCTTCATGGTCATCTTTGTCTAACTGTGGAATGAGGAATTCTTGGAGCATGTCCAGATATACAATACCGGTAATGATCGTCTCCATGAAGAAGAAAGGACCGTACACTCTTTCTTTGCTGGGGGCTCAAAACACGCTCACCTTTGGGCTATCACGAACATATTCCAGGGAGACGTGTGGATTTTCGCTGCCCCAGATCCTGCATTTGTGGTATTGACCTTACCACTGACATGAAACTTGCTCTCATCACTGAAAATTACGGAGTCCAGAAACTTATCGTCTTGTATCTGATGAAACATTTGCATACAGACTTCCTTACGGACCACCTTATCTGCATCCGTAAGGTGTTGAATGATGGATAGTTTGTACGCTTTTAAGTCTAAATGTTTTCGTAACACACACAGGAACATTTGAAATACCAGTTTCCTGAGATGCACGTCACGTTGACTTTCGTGGACTTCAAACGAAGCTCTCCCTAATCTGTTCCACTGTAGCGTCAGAAACACGTGGCCGACCAGGTGGCTTGGCACAGCGCACAGAGCATCTGGTCTGAACAAAATTGTTGTGCCAGGAGTAAATTGTAGGCCTCCTGGGAAGTTCCTTGCGACACTGAGCGCGAAATTTCCTTTCAAGTTGTGTAGCAGACTTCGTTTCTTTGAACCAAAACACACAACGAGCATGCTCTGCACCTGTGAAAGTAGCCATCTTGATTTCAACTGCAGGAGCCCTCGCGGTGGCGGTATTGGGTACTACAGTACCGTGTGCATGAAACTGTGTTTTTTGCTACATTATGACAGTTCAAAACGTTGTATATGTCTTGTGTATAAATTTATATGAGCTTTCAAAGTTGTAAAGCTCTTTTTGAAATACCCTGTACTGTCATCATTTTTAAACCAAAGCAAAGAGAGTGTGATGGAATATGAACATGCGCTGCAAAGGCACAAAGTGAAAACCGTAATGCAACCAAGACTTGCGTGTGGAATACATAAATTATGTACATTATTTTTCATAATTTGGTAAGTGAATAAAGTAAATGTAGGATAAAGTTATGTAATATTTTTAATGACATTGCTGTGAATGCTGAAGGTACCGTATAAGATAATTGGCCCCTTTTGAAGCCATTACATCTGAGTCATATGTCCCCTCTTGCCCCATGCAAAAATAATTTCAATCCCTTCTACTTTCTTAAGGACTGAGTCAGCTGCTTATATCGCATGCTTTAAACACATCGATTAGCAGACTTCCCAGATTCTTGTCTCCAGATGCTCTTGAAAATTCAACACCCATGCTTGTCTTTGAGGCTTGTTCAGGGTCCCATGGGTAACTTATGTAGGTAATTACATTAGTCATTAACCCGTTACCGTGGTTCAACGTGTATGTTTCGTCAGGGATTTATATCGTCTGGGGGGGTTCGACGTGTATGTTTCGTCCAGCTGCACACGTATGTTATAACGCCCATAATAATTGATGGTTTTGCTGTAGATTGTTAGATTTTTCACTGGCCTGTTGTCAGGAGGACTGTATTTAATGACACACGTGTTTAAGAGCGCTAAGTCGTCGTTACATATGCCTGTCTTGCAGCAACGTTCCTGTGGCTATTGCGAGCTGTTTCTGTTATGAATGATGTGTTTTGTTTGCTCTGAAGCTATAAACACCAGAGACTGATATGTGC